ACCTGATGATTCATCAAATAATGAATTAATAATCAATTTCCTATCACTCACACATACACACACACACGCCACAGGAAAAAAAATAAGTTTTTCTGGTATAGTTTCATGACCTCAGTCTAACCAATGGGATTTGAATTTGTACAGAAGCAAATAGTAATGCTCTGAATGCAGTAGTATGGGGCGAGAATACACATCAATGAGAAACACCTCTCACTCTACATATAAGTTCTTTTGGGGCTTGAATCTCCGTTGCCCCAATAGACCCACATCTTTTGAAGAGTTCTCAGCAGTCACTGCTAGTGTGGAAGGCCCTGAAAACTTTGGGAGACAAGGACTAGTAGGAGGAATTAGATCAGTAGAGGTGTGTCCTTAAAGGCCACAACTAGTCCCTGATCTGTTCCTCACTCCCCATTTCCTGTGTAGCTGCTATGAGGTGAACAACCTCCTTATCCACATGTTCTTTCCATATTATCTGCCTCATACTGGGAGCAGGATCAATGGCACCACAGATTCCATTGGAACAACACCTCTGAAACTGAGAACCAAAGCTCATCCAACTGGTTTATATTGTTTTGGTTAGGAGGTTGTTGTTTTTCACTGAGATGCAAAAAGTAGTGGGTATCCTCTCCTCATGAAGCTTCATTAACTGGTCCTTTATTTCCAACGTGTCCTTATGAATCCTCCTATCTAGGAAGTTGGGCCATTGCTGGCCATACATTCTACTCCACGTATGTCACCTGAGGACACACCTTTGACTTCATCTTGAATGCACTCTCCCAGATTCTTCTGGTGACCAAATATACATTGTACTTGGAGGCATGCAGTTTTCTGAACTTTGTTCATAGCTAATTAAAAATATTAGCATTTACTAATCATGAAATTGACCCCTCTGATTATGTATAATATGTCCCCCAAATAAATACCATTGTTTAGGAATAATAGTAGCCTCTCTTACTACCTGGAGTTTCTCTAGGAAGCTTCTTTCCAATTTTATATGAACCCAAGCCTAATGTGAAATGGCCTTTTCAAACCTTCATTCATTTTTTTTCTCCTGTCTTCTTAGCATATTTAATTAATTAATTATTATTATTTTTTTAACCAAAGTTCTCTTAAAGGCATCTTTTATTCCTCTATTCTGGTCTACATTTCCCCCTGGGTTCCTGTGTCTCTCTCATGCTTCTTTTCCCTGGTCCATAGCTCTCTGCAGCTCTGAATGCTGTGTCTCCCCCTCTGCAGACTAAAAATAATCCCAAGCTCAGTTCACTTCCCTCCCACAAGCTCGCTATTCTGTCCCTTTTTCTGACCCACCCCTGCCAGTATTGGTTATGGTTGTTGTTCTTGTTTGTCAACTTGACACAGTCTAATGTCAGGGGAGAGGGCGCCTCAATTAAGAGGATGCTTCCATCAGATGGCCCTGCAGGCAAGTCTGTGAAGTGTTTTCCTAATTAATGACTGTTGTGGGAGGATCCAGAGTGACTGATGTGGGAAGATCCAGACTGCTATGGATGGTGCTACCCCAGGGCAGTTGGTCCTGTGTTGTTTAGAGAACCAACTGGGCAAGTAACACAGAGAAGCCAACAAGCAGCATCTTTTCATGGTTTCTCCTCCAATTCCTTCTGCCATGTTCCTGTTCTCATCCCTGGCTTCCTTCAGTGATGGACTACGATAGGGAAGTGTAAGATGAAATAAACTCTGTGGTGATAAATTGCTTATGATATAAGGCCACTGAAGGACAGAGAAGCAAAGCAGCCGGACAGTAGCTTTTACCTCTACCGAGGCTGAAATGGAAGTACTGTCTTCCCTGACTGGAAAATGAATCTCCATACTGCACTGCTCTCCCCAAAGCCTCAGAATCTTAGACTGCCTGCCCTCTGAGACTACACTGAGCTCCTTATATTCTCTCTAGTGCTGAGATTAAAGGCATAAACTCTGTTTCTCTTTTGGACTGATTCAATCTCATGTAGTTCTAGGTGGCCTTGAACTCACAGAGATCCATCTGCCTCTGTCTCCTCAGTATGGGATTAAAGTTGTGTGCCACCATTGCTCAGCTTCTATACTTAACTAATGTGGCTGGCTTTGCATTTTGATCTTCAGGGCCTTATTAGATCATAAACAATATATCACCACAAAACACTTTCCTCCTCCCAAAGTTGGTTGTGGTCATGGTATTTTTTTACAGTGACAAAAACCAAACTCAGACACCACCCTTGAGTTTCCAATTATTCTTTATCCTTTCTCCTATGATAAATTTCTGCCCTTTTGTCTAATTACAAAATCTCTACTTATGACTTTATTTGACCGTTTGGTGAACTCCATATAGGGTCCCGGACCTTATGTTGCCACTCACTGGGAAGTTGCATGGGCTTCATCAGAATTCAATCCTAGTTCCCAAGCATCTACTTCTTTCCTGTTGTTTTCTCAGCCAGCTAATTACATCAGCTAATTTCCCCAGACCTCCCCATTAGAAATTTACCGTGTAGAACCTCCATCTCTTACCTTCTCTGCCTCAGTGCTAACCACTTACCATCTACTAAGAGTGCCTAGGAAAGCAGTGGTTCTCAAACTGTGGGTCATGGCCCCTTTGAGGGCATATATTGGATATTTCAATCATGATTTATAATAGTAGCGAAAATACAGGTATGAAGTAGCAATGGAAATACCTTTACGGTCGGGAGTCACCACAACAATGAGGAACTGTATCAGTGGATCACAGAATTGGGGGGGGCGGTTGAGAACCACTGCACTGGATTATCTGCAGCGTGTATCCTGTACTGCTCTTGGTGGTGACTGCCATCACTAGGACTACAGCCGAGTTCATGGACATCCCTCCTTTTCTTCCCTAAACTCTCCATCTCCTTACATTTCTGATAGAAGAATCTTCATGAAACTACCATCTTAGCAATTCCTCTGAGTGACAAGCCAAGTCACTCCGAAGTGTGAGGAGGATAAAGTTCAAAACCCTCAACCCCGGAAACTCTGAAGACCATTCCTTGTTCTTCGTTCACATGTCCACTGCAATCCATCTCTTTTGTTTTTCAATCCTTTTATTTTACTTTTTTATCCTCTACTTCTCTTCACAGCATCATGGTCAATATATTTGACATTATATATGTTTTTCAATATATAATATTTAGTTCTTTTTTTCAATTTCACCATCTTTCATTTTAATATATGTATAGACATATATATGTGTATATATATATATCCCCTTATTTTAGATATTGATCACAGTTCCCTCTCCCTCCCATGCCCACCGATCCCCTCTTCCACCCCCCCACACACTCCACAGGGAGGGTGATGCCATCCAGGAGGGATCATCAAAATCTGTCAAGTCATTTGGAGTAGGGACTAGGCCCTCCCTCCATGGGGAATGTATTCCCAAAGTCCTTTCATGCACCAGGGATACATCCTGGTTCCACTGTCAGAGGTCCCTTAGACTGCCCAGGCCTTCTAACTGAGACCCACGTTTAGGGGGTCTTGGTCGGTTCTATGCTGGTTTCCCAGCTATCAGTCCATGAGCTCCCCCTTGTTCAGGTCAGCTGTCTCTGTGAGTTTCTCCAGCCTGGTCTTGACCCCTTTTCTTTTCACTCCTCACTCTTTGCAGCTGGATTACAGGAGGTAGGCTGAGTATGGTTAAAGAGATGGATCTCTCAGACACGCACAGCTAAACGCTGAGAGATCCATCTCTTTAACCATAGTCTCACACTCTAGTTTCCAAGAGTTGTTTTTTTTTTTCCTACAATGGAAATAAGCTCAGTCTAGCTTTAGCACCTGCTGTTTTCCTGTATTCACATGGCTGACATCTTCACAGGATAGCAAGGTCTCCTCTCAAGTGTCCCCTCCCCTCTGTGAATCACCCTTGGACCACACAAACTGCTATCCTCTCTCCCAATTCCATCTTGTCTCACTTTCATATTCTTTTTTCTTTCCTTTCTCCTAAATTTATCTCAGCATCTGGAAATATTGGTTCACTTTCATATTTACTTAATTCATTCCTGTCACCTCAGATGCATGTGTAAATTTATGAACATGAAGCTTGCCTCACTTCCCTCCATGCTTGGCACAGGAAGCATGAAGTAAGATTTCTTTGCATCAATTTTTGCATCTTCATATTCTTTCTGATTATATGTCTGTGCTAACATTTAGCATATTACCACTTCATTTGAACAAGATGTGAGGTAGACAGAAAGTAAGACATCTCAAAACATAGGTGAAGAGGGAAAATCATGTCCAGTGATTGTAGTTTTCAGTGTCATTATCCCTGATTCTGGATTTTTCTGAATCATGCTATGAACAACAAATACTCTTTAAATATCAATTTCAATATGTTAGTTTCTAATTGTATCACAGATGAATGTTTACATTAAACTTGTATTGTGAGCTTATTAAATTTACTACTTAGTAACTGCTAAAGCTCCTATTTCTATGTACACAACCATGCTATCTGCAAATAAAAGTGTTATTCTTGCATTTCAAGAGGGATACTCAATGATTATTATTTTAAGTACAAGCTATAGAAACTAAAAGCATCAGAAATCACAGCTGCCAGGGATATAACTGTTAAACTAGATGGAGAACAATAGTATAATGGAGGAACACATTATAATAGTTTAAAAACTCTTGTCTTACAGCAACTTATGATCAATTACTCTCACTGTGTTTGAATTCCTGGAAAATAGTACCATATCTTAACTGCCTGTCTACAACCCATAAACACATTAAGGTACTTTCCCAAAGAAGATACATAAAATAAATTATTCAAATACAACTAAAAATACCCCAATGTTGCCCACATGGTATATTTTTTTCTGAATGATTGTTGATAGACTATAAGAACCAATGAGAAAGCTTCAGTTTATTGAATGATGAGCTTATGTTCATCCCTGCCAAGCAAATACGACACAGGAGAAAACAGAGGATTCCCTATCAAGACACAGAGAAACACTTGCTCTTTTAGGTAATGTGGAAACAAATATAACAAAGGAGACTCGAGTGTCTACCTGTGCATTTCTTTATGTGACTGTTTCTCTTCCCATGTGATCCCAGTTTGCATCCGAAATTCTCCTCCCAAAATTCTGCAAACCACACATTTCTTCGATTATTGGCAAGAGTTCGGCTTCTAAAATATCGATCAAATCCTATGTTAGAGGAAAAAGGTATGATTTCAGTATTCATTCAAAACCAAAGCAAAATACCACCAGAACTTTGAAGAAGTGTTTCATCCAACAATATTTATAACATATTATATTTATGTGCGTGTTGTATTGCTATATAATACATGTATAACATATATACACATATATGTGTGCATGTATATATTTACATATATACATGTTTATATATCATTAATAAATAATTCTTTTCTTTCTCTCCAAATATGAATTGACACTCCAGGCTGTCCTATATCTAAAGCCACTACAATCTGTACTATTTTCAGCTAATTCAATAAGGCAATCAGAACTGATACAATCATATAGAGTCATGGCTAAGTAGTCTAAATTTTTAGTTTTCTCAGGTAACCACTTCGTTTAAGGGAAGACATCCAGAAACAATGCTTTACTCCAGAGGATAATATGAAAGATAGGAATTTGGGTCATTGTTAAGAATATTGGGAGGATATTTGGGAAACAAACTTATCCATCTTTAAGGTTTCCTCCCAATTTTCTGTTTCATTTATTTTTCCATAGGTCAATTAATATAATATATTCAGTGTTTTAATCAAACTCTTTCCCTCCAACAGTCTATAACCCTCATAAATGTTCACAAGTGCACGAAAATGAACTATATTAACTAGCATCATGGAAATGTCTAATTTTAATAATAGTGCTCTTTCACAAGGAAAATAATCTTTAAAGTATACTTTTTAGCATTCAATTGTTGCATAGTGGCAATGACTGCTGTGCCAAAAGAGGTGTATCTTCCATTCAGAATCATCAATGAGTATAACTCAGATTCGAATTATAAATTGTTAACTTCGAATGTTTCAAAGTTATTTTTCTTCAGTGTTGCAGATTAAATCCAGAGATATAAGAACCCTAACCAAATGCTTGACTACTGAGCAATGTCCCCAGCCTGCATCTGAAATTTGATTTGACTGAAATGAAAGAAAGTATCCTTATTGCATCCTTACCATCAATTGATGCTCTTTTGGGCAAAATTGTCACGGCCCCTTCTGCGATCTCCTCTTGCTGATAGACAGGTGCTATTTTGGATCCCCAACTATCTGAGCCAATCCAAAGAAAATGCCCACTTTGGTTTAATTTTTTTGCTGCTTCCAATATCCTCCTGTAGGAACAAAATGAAATAAATATATGCCATTTTCTGAGAAGCACTACAATTTAGAACCTCATAACACCAGTGCTGAGGACTGAGTGTGTCCTCCAAACTCCATGTATCATGGAAACGTAATTTTCCAACTCATATGTAATGGTTTGGTGTGGGATTCTTGGGGGGGTGATCAGGTTTGAGTAAGTCAGGAGTATGGGTCTCAGGATGACATGAATGTCCTTCTGAGGTGAGAAGCAAAGCCTAGAGTAAGACGCTTCTCTGACTTGCCATATGATGCCCTCCATGTTTTCGCCCAGAAAACCAGTCCTCAAAAGCTTCCCAGAAGCAGCTAGACCCATACTCTTAGGTCTCCAGAGCCAAGAGCCAAACAAGTTTTTTTTTTTTTTTTTTTTTTTTTTTTCTTTATCAATTTCCAAGTTTGAAGTATTCAGCAATACCAACAAAAAGTGAAACCAACACAACCAGTTTGATGAAGTTAAAAACACTCAGTAGGTCATTGTTAAACAATTAGTCAATCATTCTAATTGCTTGAGTCTGCTCTTCTAAAGGAAATACAGCTGAGACTCCAGCATGTGTTAATTGGACTAATCCTTAACCTGTTCTCACACTCTGTCCGGCATTCTGATTTAACTCATCTCATTGGATTCCAGGTTTTCCTCTGTAGGCGTGGCCGACACAGAAATGAGAAGGGCTGGAACCCAGCAATTCTGGTGAATCTCATACGCTCTTTACACTGTTCATAAGAGATGGGGGGAAAGGATGCATAGCATAAATCTTGATCCTGCAAGAAAGTAATCACCTGATGTCATCCTCGTTGGCAAACATAATCACTGCGCGGGCATTAGGCGTTTCCAGCAGGCGTTTGATAATTTTTTCAAATTCTCCAGGTCGTGGTTCACGCGGGATTTTCTGTGATTGAGCAATGCAAACACCACCTGTTTGGGGCAGAGGAAATAAGTCGTTTCAGAGAAAGCACTTATTTAATTTAAACTTAATGAGGTTAATTGCATTGTTAAAGCACATGATTTACTACAAAATATTGTTTTTCAAACTAGTTGCCATTCTGGCCTATTGAAAGTAATTAGGTCTGTTTTTAAAATAATATATGTACTAAGTAAATAACAACAATATGGGTTTGGATTCCTTCCACAAACCTAAACATTTTTGTTGGTTTTCGTGGTGGTGATTTTGAAGGTTTAGAGTAGTACCTGTCTATGACCTGTGAGAAGGTCCTGGGGATGGAAAGGAAAGGGGACACTTTGCATTTATTTATTATAAAACTAAATGTGAATGATAAAATACATCTGACTATATATTGTATGTGAGGCGACTATGGAATAGGAAGACCCCTTTTCTGCTTTTCCATACTAGATCTCATTTGAACTTACTTTTCTTCTGCTGCTCATATCATTTCTTCACACTCCAGCAGAATATGTTGTGAGACTAAGAGTCTACAAGGCTATCCAACAAATCTCAAAAATTCAAGCCCTTGCTGAGATAGGCTTCCATCTTACAAAAAAAATTATTTTAGCCAAAACAAAGGGACAGAGGGAGGGAAAGGAAAGAAGGAAGGACCCAGGACTCTTCCTTCAACATTTTCTAAAATAATGAGAAGCCAAAGAAAATTTAGACAAGGCTCTGCTTTCGAGACTAGATAGGGTTAGAAGAAAGAGTTTTGTTTTTGTTTTCCTAATTGCAGTGGATCAGAGACAAAACATATTCTAACACAGAGAAAACAGAATTAGCTTTAGGTTTTATTGCACTGCATCGTGAATGGACTTTTTTTGAGTCAGTAGAGAATGAAGTTGATATTTGTGACACTGCTTCAGTAGGCAAAGATATTTTCATTCCCCCAAACTAACAATAACCAGTCACTTAACAATTATTGGCTGCCATTATATATCATGCATTAAATCCTGCAAAGTCTGTCTAATCTAGAAAATACCATCTAATCTGGAGACAGATACTGTAGTAAATATGTAATATGTAATAAACTGGAGATTTACAAAAACACATCATGTCATGGGAACAAAGAGGAAAGAAAATGAGAGCTTGTTAAAGCCAGATTTTAAAGAACATGCTTTCACACTCACACACTCCTATGTGAGGGAAAGTGAGAGACTCATAATAGAGTACAAGGTGTGAAAGAGCCTATTCTAATGTGAGCCTAGAGTATAAACATATTAAAGTTGAAGTTGAAAAGAATGGCCAGGATCAAGAACACATTTTGGGATCGTCAAGGACTGTATATAAAATATCCATGCATTGAAACTCAATCTCTAGTATGATGGTATTGAGACAAAGTCATTGGGAAGAAACTGGGTAACAAAGATTGAGCCTTTATGAACTGAATTAGTATTCTTTCTTAAAAAAGAGAAAGGGAAGAGATGGAGAGAAGGAGGGAGGGAGGAAGGAAGGAAGGAAGAAAGGAAGAAGGGAGAGAGGGAGGAAAGAAAGAAGGAAAGTAAAAAGAAAACAGAGAAAGGGGAAGAGAAAGGGGCTGGAGAGGAGACCAGATAACTCTTTTACACTACAGACCATCAGAGAATACAGTAAAATATTCAGTTGTTTTTTGAACCTAGAAATGAGCCATCAGAAGAATCCATCCATTCTGGCACTCTGATCTGAGACTTCTAGCCTCCAGAAATGTGAGGAATAAATTTCATTGTTTATAAGCCACCAGCATATTATAATCTATTACAGCAGCGTGACTGAACTAAGACATTACATACTTTAGAGTTTATCCTGAAAAAAAAAAATCCATTTAAAGTTAACAATACAGAAAGAGATAAGCTTTCATTTAGGGAAGAAAATTGAACCTAGCAACAGACAACTGGTTGAATATGTGTAATCAGACCTAATGTGTACAGCAGGAATGGATGAGTAAATAATAATTGTTCTTCTTCTCCTATTTTTTTTAATTTAATTTATTATTTGACATGTCGATCCCAGTTCCCTCCCCCTCCCTCCCTTCCTGCCTTCTTCCCTTCCTCCCTCCCTTTTACAAGCTCTGTCCTCTCACATGCACCCTAACCACCCTCCCCTCCCATCCCCCCACCCCAATTCCATATGTAGGAGAATGCCATCCAGTTGGGGTCATGTAGATCTGACAGGTCCTGTGAAGTAGGGACCAGGGCTTCTCTCCTGTCTCTAGATTAAGGCAGTTAAGCCTTCCATGGGGGATGTATTCGCAAGGTCCTTTTGTGCACCAGGGATACATCCTGGCTCTACTGTCTGAGGTCCCTTAGACTGCTCAGTCCTTCTGGCTGAGACCCATATTCAGGGGGGCCTGAGTCACTCCCATGGTGGCATCCCAGCTATCAGTCTGGGGGCCTGTTAGCTCCTCCTTCAGGTCAGCTGTCTCTATGTATTTCTGCAACCTGGTCTTTTCCTCTCCATCTGCATCTGAGTTCTAGTTTGACTCGGTGTTTATGTATGGGTGTTTGCTCCTGTTTCCAACAGGTATTAGATGAGGGCTCCATGGAGAAGTTAGTTGTTGATCTCACTATCCAGGAAGGTCATTTATGGTAGCCTTTCCATGGAAGCTCAAATTGTTAGTGGGCGGCAGTCTTGTAGTTCTCTAGACCTTTCTTTGGTTTCAATTTTCTCTTCAAACCAATATTGGTTCCATCTTTTATGTTCTCTCTCTATATCTCTCTTTGTCTCTGTCTCTGTCTCTCTCTCTCTCTTTCCTGTCTTCTAATCCTACCCTGACTCAATCTTCCTAGTCTCATGTGTTTTCCTCTCCTCCCCCTTGCTTTCTCCTACCTCTCTCTCCATTCACTGCCCCCCCCTTCCCCTGTGCTCTAGGGGACTTGTCCCTTCTCGCTTTTGTGAGGGACTTTATATGAATCTCTTAGAATACATCTTGTATCCTAGTTCCTCTGGTGGTAGGCTGCTGATCCTTTGCTCTAAGTATAAAATCCATATATGAGTGAGTACATACTGTGTTCCTCTTTTTGTGACTGGGTTACCTCATTCAGGATGGTTTCTTTAAGTGTCATCCACTTGCCTGCGAATTTCAAGATACCATTATTTTTTTTCTGCAGAGTAGTATTCCATTGTGTAAATGTGCCACATCTTCATTATCCATTCTTCAATTGAGGGGCATCTAATTTGCTTCCAGGTTCTTGCTATTACAAATAGTGCTGCTATGAACATAATTGAACAGATGTCTTTGTTGCATGGATGTGGATCATTTGGGCATATGCTTAAGAGGGGGATTGCTGGGTCCTGTGGTAAACTAATTCCCATTTTCCTGAGGATCCGCCATACTGATCTCCAAAATGGCTGTACGAGTTTGCACTCCCACCAGCAGTGGAAGAGTGTTCCCCTTTCTCCACATCCTCTCTAGCATAAGTTGTCATTGGTGTTTCTAATTTTAGCCATTCTTATAGGAGTAAGATGGTATCTCATCAAAGTTGTTTTGATTTGCTTTCCCTGATAGCTAAGGATGTTGAGCACTTTCTTAAGTGTCTTTCAGCCTTTTTGATTTCCTCTGTTGAGAATTCTCTCTTCAGTTCTGTACCCCATTTTTAAAAGGGTTATTTGGTGTTTTCTTGACTAGTTTCTTGAGTTCTTTGAATATTTTGGAGACCAGCCCTTTGTCATACGTAGGATTGGTGAAAATCTTTTCCCTGTCTATGGGCTGCCGTTTGGTCTTGTCTACTGTGCCCTTTGCCTTACAGAAGCTTCTAAGTTTGAAGAGGTCTCATTTATTAATTGTTGCTCTCAGTGTCTGTTCCCCTGGAGTTATGTTCAGGAATCGATCTCCTATACCAATTTGTTCAAAGTTACCAACATCAAACTGAATGGAGAGAAACTTAAGCCAATTCCTCTAAAATCAGGAACAAGACAAGGCTGCCCTCTCTCTCCATATCTCTTCAATATCGTACCTGAAGTTCTAGCTAAAGCTATAAGACAACAAAAGGCAAGGAAGAAGTCAAACTGTCTCTATTTACAGATGATTTTTCTTCTTATATGTTTTAAAATATTAAAAATCACTCTGTAGTTGAAATGTACTTACTAACCTTATGTTATAATCTCCAGAGATAGAACTGTTCACAGCCATGCTGCTTCCTATACTTAGCTACTAATATACCAGTAAGAGTTACAGTGATCAATTCATTACATAGCAAATGTTATGCCATATTTAAAAATATGTAGTGTAAGGAATGAGGATACAATGGCCAATAAAATGGACATGGGCTCTGCCTTCATAGAATTTAGAAATATAAGTAAATCAGGCTTCATGTAAACAGTAAGTTTATAAGTATGAATTATTACAAGCCCTATTAAGAAGAACAAGGGTATTTAGTCAGTGGTCAGGAATGGCTACTCTGAAGTGGTATAATTTAGTTGGCCTCAAAAGGATGAAACACATGTAGAGGACAGTATAGGAAATGCCAGGAAAGAGCTGGTAGAGCCATGTAAGGGGTAGAGAAATCCTCAATGGCCCATAGAAAACACTGGCTGTCTGAACATGGCATTTCATGAATGAAAATGGATGAGGACTACGGGTGTCAAGGGAGACTGTGAGTGTAAAGAATGGAAGCAGAAATCCCACTGCAAAGGTTATCTATCAGCATGCATGGTGGAGAACAATGAATAAGACAATACCACCAGAGGTACGAAGAACAGACAGAGCTCTGCTGGAAGTCCTCAGCTAGAATCAGTGATGCTTCATGTTGATTTGACATAAATAAGGAAGCAACAGGCAGCCGCCAAATAAGTGTACTTGCGTGGATTTAGTCATGGTGACCAGTTTTGTGGAGACATGATTAAAAAAACAGATAATACAAGAGGTATGTGAGGGTGGTTATTGGAGGCAGGTGTCTTGAGAATACTGTAGTAGGAATATCCGTCAGGCTAAAAAGCATGTTTTTGGAGCTATGGAGAGGTAAAGGGAAATGCGGCTACCACTCTGCCAGGTGTT